CTACCACTACTACTGCTACCACTGCTAAACTACTCCAACACCCCCCCCTCCCCCACCTCCCCCACCTCCTCCAGGTGGCGCCACTCACCGACGCTCGGCGTGACGACGTCGAACTGCATCGTGTGCGTGTCGTGCAGGTTGTCTGCGAGGCGCGCTCCGTAGTCCTGCATGGAATGTAGCAGCTCCACGCTGCCACCCGCCCGGCTGTTGATGACGTGCCACTTACGCGCGTAGCGCAGGTCCAGGATGCGACTCATCACCTTCACCATGTTCTGCGCAGACAGACAGACGGCACAGGGTCAGTATGGGGTTCAGTGGTCAGTATGGGGGGTCAATGGTCAGTATGGGGGGTCAGTGGTCAGCATGGAGGTAGATGGTCAGCATTGGGGTCAATGGTCAGTATGGGGGGTCAATGGTCAGAATGGGGGGTCAATGGTCAGCATGGGGGGTCAATGGTCAGCATGGGGGTCAGTGGTCAGCATGGGGGGTCAATGGTCAGCATGGAGGTAGATGGTCAGTATGTGGGGTCAATCGTCAGCATGGAGGTAAATGGTCAGCATGGGGGGTCAATGTTCAGTATGGGGGGTCAATGCTAGTATGGGGGGTCAATGCGTGCCTGTGTCTGTGAGTGCATGCGTGCCTGTGTCTGTGAGTGCATGCGTGCCTATGTGCATATGTCTGTGCGTGCGTGCGCATGTACTCACTGGTATGTATGCGCTGTCCTGCACGTGTGTCAGCCCCAGCCCGACCTGCGCGTGCGTGTGTACGTGTGCGTGCGTGTGTACGTGTGCGTGCGTGTGTCTGTGCGTGTGCGTGCGTACTTACCGGTATGTATGCGCTGTCCTGCACGTGTGTCAGCCCCAGCCCGACCTGCGCGTGCGTGCGTGCGTGTGCGTGCGTGCGTCTGTGTGTGTGCGTGCGTACCTACCGGTATGTATGCGCTGTGCTGCACGTGTGCCAGCCCCAGCCCGACCTGCGCGTGCGTGAGTACGTGTGCGTGCGTGTGTCTGTGTGTGTGCGTGCGTGTGTCTGTGTGTGTGCGTGCGTGTGTCTGTGTGTGTGTGCGTGCGTACTTACCGGTATGTATGCGCTGTCCTGCACGTGTGTGAGCCCCAGCCCGACCTGCGCGTGCGTGCGTACGTGTGCGTGCGTGTGTCTGTGTGTGTGCGTGCGTACTTACCGGTATGTATGCGCTGTCCTGCACGTGTGTCAGCCCCAGCCCGACCTGTGCGCGCGTGCGTACGTGTGCGTGCATGTGTCTGTGTGCGTGTGTACGTAATTACCGGTATGTATGCGCTGTCCTGCACGTGTGTGAGCCCCAGCCCGACCTGCGCGTGCGTGCGTACGTGTGCGTGCATGTGTCTGTGTGCGTGTGTGCGTGCGTACTTACCGGTATGTATGCGCTGTCCTGCACGTGTGTGAGCCCCAGCCCGACCTGCGCGTGCGTGCGTACGTGTGCGTGCATGTGTCTGTGTGCGTGTGTGCGTGCGTACTTACCGGTATGTATGCGCTGTCCTGCACATGTGTCAGTCACAGCCCGACCTGCGCGTGCGTGCGTGCGTGCGTGCGTGCGTGCGTGCNGAGATATAAGTGGGTAGATGAGTGTTGCAGGATGAGGTGAGATATAAGTGGGTAGATGAGTGGGGCAGGATGAGGTGAGATATAAGTGGGTAGATGAGTGGGGCAGGATGAGGTGAGATATAAGTGGGTAGATGAGTGTTGCAGGATGAGGTGAGATATAAGTGGGTAGATGGTAATCCTGGCAGGGTGAGATGGGGGACGAGGATGCTAGAGTCTTCACAGGCAAGCTCTAAATCTAAGCCCCTTAAAACATCCTCACTTCTATTTCCTTCTTTATACACATTTAGTGTATAATAGTTATTAATAGTATACACAATAGTTAGTATTAATTGCGCGAACGTGTATTTCATTTCTGGCATAAACACAGTGCCCTCTACAAACAGAGATCGGCGCGAGGAAAGTACGCGTTAACGTGGCGCCCTCTATGTACCTTGCATGTGCACTCGCCGGTGCTCTTGTCACAGCTGGGATCGTATCCCTTCTCCTCGTCGCAGTTACATGGTCCACAGATCGGGTGACCCCACCAGTGCGTCGGACATGGCTGGTTGATCACCTCCTCACAGTATGTGCCTGCAATGCAGCGCACGCGTGTGTGTGAGCGATCACCGTGGGACGACGCGACGTGTGTTTGCACGTTTACATATACGTGTTTTACCGTATTTGTGCACGGTCTGCATGTGTATGTATGAATGAATATATGTGTGTGTATATATATATATATATATATATAGATAGATAGATAGATAGATAACGCGCTAAACTAGCTTCAGTCGTCATCAACAACAGAACATCTTTGCCTAGATGGCAGCACCTACCAGCGTGCTGGTCGTCACAGACGCACATGTAACCGAGGCTGTTGTCGTAGTGCTGGCAGACGCCCTGGTTCTGACACGGGTTCATCTCACACGCATCGATGCAGTGCTCAC